ATGATGATTTGTTACTCCGCCTGCGGCATCGCAGGATCCTGTAGCCACCGTGTTCCAACCAGGGTCAAGGAAAACGAGCCGTCAACCGCCGCATGGCAGGCGGTCAACGCCACCGGCGCCTGCGAGGCGCGGATGGCAACACCACAACAAAACCCACGCGCAATGAAAGCGCACTAATCCCCGCGTCGTTGATATTGCGATGATGATGATTTGTTACTCCGCCTGCGGCATCGCAGGATCCTGTCGCCACCGTGTTCCAACCAGGGTCAAGGAAAACGAGCCGTCAACCGCCGCATATGATATTGCGAGTTGAAAGGCCATCTCGGGGTCTATATAATATGTTCTAGTCACAATTTCCACTTTTGAGCAGTTGTAGTATAATGGTTAGTACCCCACGTTGTGGCCGTGGTGATCCGGGTTCGATTCCCGGCAACTGCAAATTATCGTTTTCCAGCTGTTTGCTTTTTTCGCACTTCGACGAGCGCGAGCTTTTTCACAACATGCCTGCCGTGGGGACTGAGCCGTGCACCACAGCCGTCGCTGCGGATCAAGTGCAGAGCCGCCGCCGCCGCTGCCGGCTGGCCAGGTGCAGAGCCGCCGCCGCTGCCTGGCGTGCCTGCCCTTCCACGTGGCGGCCCCGTCTGCACCCCTTGCAATCGCACTACCCCACAATGTGCGCAAGAGTCGAAACCGTTTACTCGCTCGTTCAACCAAGTGGTCGGCGGGGGCCCGCCTCATCTCTGCTGCAGCAGCAGCTTGTCCAGCGCCCTCTCGCTCCCCGTGCGCGTTGTGATGTCGCGCACGCACTGCGCCGCCACCGCGGCCGCGGGGAACATCATCAGGGGGCCGAGGAAGGGCCCCAGCGCGCCGGCGGGCATGCGCATTGCCAGGGTTGGCAGCATGAAGTACGTCACCACGCTGGCCTCAAACGCCCTGCAGGGCGGGCCGCAGGGGGAGGGGTGCGATCAACCGGCACACGCACACGTCTTCTGCGGCCAGATGTGTGCTGAGCAAGCCCCCCCTTCCCCGGCCGCGCGCTGACACCCACCTCATGAAAGCCGCGTGCCTGCCAGACGGCACTGCGCGCGCCAGGTAGTGGCGCATGCTGCTGCGGCCCAGCGCGCGGCTGCTCGTCCAGGCCTCCACCGCGTCCATCACCAGTGGCTCAACGGGGCGGTGCACGCAGCACGCCAGCGTCAGGGCGGCAGCCACGCGGGGGCGCCCCACCTGCCGCGTGGGGGAACGGTTGCGAGCGCGCGCCGTGCGTGAAACGTGAGCACGCGCGGCCAGCTGCTGGTTGGGGCGTGCTGCTGACCTGAGCACACGGCGACTACGGTGCAGTGGGGCTTTTCAGCAGCCAGGCCCCCTGCGCCCCAGGCGCAAACTAAACGAGCACCCCTACCCCCCCTGTCCCCACCATGTAGCGAAAGCTCAGGAACTGTGCCAGCGGTATCACGGCGTATCCCAGGGGCCCCAACTGCACCCAGCGCCATGAGCGCAGCGTAGACACAAGCAGCGTGAAGATCTGGCGGTGTTTTGGGGGGCGGAGCGCAGGGGGTGAGAAACGCACACTTCCTGGCAGCGGCGGTCTGACGCACGCCGCTCCCAAAATGGCATCCCCCCTTTGTGCCCAGGAGCTCCTCCCCTGCTCACCAGTAGTTGCCAAGGGTCATCGGCGTCGTCAGAAAGAAAGCCCTGCAGGATTGGGGGGGGGGGGGGGTTGTGAGGCAGAGCGAGGGCGGGGCTGCAAGGCGGGGTGCGAGCCGCTGTCGTGCAGTGAGCACACACCTCCCACTGGCGGCGCGGCGGCGCCAACGCGCAGGACGCACCGCCACTTTTTCCCGCAGACCGCGCCTCCGCTGCAGCGGTTCCCTGCTCGCTAGCCTCGCAGCGTGCTGCGGGTCGAGCTCCTTGAGCGCCGCGAAGAAGCAGTCCGCCAGGGAGCTCCGGTACACGTAGTTGGTCAGCACGATGCACACCAGCGGGTAGATGGAGAGGCTTTTGGCAACAAAGTCGTGGCTCGAGAAGGTCGGCGTGGGCTGTTTCAGCAGCCCCACCTGAGGTTTTTTCGCAGCGCGGGCGGTGCGAAACGCTTGGCGTGCGCGTGCCGGCGTGCGCGCCCCGGCATCGCCCCTTGCTGGCGCAAGCCAAGGCCCCAGCGGGCCGCAGCCGGTTTGCCACCCCACCCACCAGCCTCAGCACCAGGCTGACGGGCAGCAGCAGTGCGCGGAGCACCAGGTACTGCGCCACCGCGGCGATGACTATGGGCTTGGCCGCGCGCTTGACGCCCGCCCAGACAGCGGGGCTCCGCAGCGCGCGCACAAACGCCAGCACCTGTTGACAGGGGAGCGGGCAGGGGAAGAGCGGGGGAGGTGGGGGGGGGGGGATCAGACGCATAGGGTCCCCCGCGGGTAGGTGCAGAAGCGCCCGCTGCCGCAGGCCCTGCTTGCCCCTCGGCTTGCAGCGCTCCCACGCGCGACACGCAAGCCGCGCTGCACGCAACAGCACCCCCCTCACCGCCAGGTAGACTGACGCGAGGTGGTCGCTCAGCGCCTGCTGTGCCCGCTGCGATAGGAGCTGCGGCTCCTGCAGCGGCTCGGCAGCGGCGCCTGATCCGCGCTCACCCGCGCCCCCACTGCCGCCGCCGCCGGCTGGTGCCGGCCGCGATCGCTCGTATGGGCTTGTATCCATGGCCGGGATCGCTGCCTAGGGGGCGGGGAGCTGGCTCTCGGGGCTGGGACAGCGTGTCGGCAGCCTGGCCGCGGGCCGCGGGCTGACAGCGCAGCAGCACGAGCCGTATGAGGGCCCTTGAGTTAGTGGACGCGATTGACGTGGAGTGGGAGGCGTTTGGGGCAAACTTTCAGCCGGCGCCCCGCCCGGGCCCCGCCGCCGCCGGTGGCGCCCGGTGACGCCAGGCCGTCGCGCCTGCGCGCCGGCTGCATGCACGCGATGGTGGTGAGCGGCGCTGGCACCGCGGGTGGTGTGGCGGGGGCACATCAGTCTGACGGCTATCCCTGGTCCAATTTTGGCAGAGCAGTGGACTGCGCACAGCCCATTGTGCGGCTACCGCAGTGTCCGATAGCGACCCAGGCATGCCGTCTTCGCCGAGTTCTGGCGGCCTTCTCATGCAGGCAGCCCCTAAAGCCCCAGCAAAAGACTGTTCTGCTGGGCTAGACCTCGGCAGGCTGCTGCCTTGCCGGCGATCAAACCCACCGTGTCATCAGAAACATTTGGGGTTAGGGTTGCGCTTGGTTGAGCCTGGTTTGGCTTGGTTGTAGCAACCTCAACCAGGGGGCTGGTTACCGCCACCCAATGATCAACCGGTGGTTCCAGCAACCGTCCGCGGTGGTTGCCGCATCTTGGGTTGCAAGGGGATGCTGCAACCCGGGTTGCTGCAACGCCCTTGCAACCGGGGGTGGCTGCAACCCATGCTGATGGTTGTTGCAACCCCACCTGGCTGCGGGGTGGCGGCAACCACAATCTAAACAAACCACATGCAATACCATGTAATCCCCCCTGTCCGACACACTGAGGATTGAGGGCAGCGGGGCGCAACAGATGGGATTACAAATGCAGTGCAGCGGCGCCCGCGGGCGGGGGCGCGGGGCGCCGGCCGCCGGCCCCGCGCCGGCTGGGGCGCGGCGGCTGCGGCCCGGGCCCGGCGCCGGCGCGGCGCGCGCGCAGCGCGGTGCATGCGTTGGGTGCCGTGTGCTGGCCTGGAGGAGGGGTCAGTGCGCTTTGCGGCAGCATCAGTGGGGCACGTTGTGCAGGGTGTCATGCATGCCGCATGCGGCAAGGGCCGGGGGCAGCTGGTGGCGCCGCCAATCAAACGCCGAACTGAATGCAAAGGCGGGGTAGTAAACCCCGCAGTGAGGGTGGGGTGGGGGGCCCAAGGGCCAGGGGGCGGCCCCTTCATTTTGCAAGAGTGGTAGCGGTGGGCCACGAGCGCAGCACCCGCAATCACGTGCGCGCAAGTGCCGCTGGTCGCGGCCCACGCGGCGCACGTGCAGCGCCAGCTGATCGGGCTGCACCGGGCCGTGTTGGTAAGCGCGCGCTCCCTGTACATGCGGCCGCGCTGCGCCCGCGTGCGCCGGCCTGACGCGTCGAGACCGGGGCCAGGCTGCCCCAAGGTGACAGTCGCAAGGCCGCAGCGCGACGATGAGCGATCCCGATCGAGGGCGCAATTGAAGGCGCCCCGCCGGCTCGCGCTGGCTGGTGCCGGCGGCGGCAGGTTTCACAACTGGCCGCCTTTTCGCACGGCGCGCGGATTACGGTTTTTTGTAATCCGTCTCTTTGTGAATCAAGCTCTGGAAAAGCTGTGGAGGGGGCGTTCACAAAGAGGCCCCAGCGGGGTGCGGCAGCGAGTCAGCGGCAAAGGCCCCAGGGCTCGCCCGGGCGACAAAAAATCACCCCTTCTGACATGCCGGCCTTGACCGGCGAGCCGGCACGGCTGCGGGACCAGGCGGAGCGATAGGCGGGGGGCCATGAGCTTCCTGGTGCGGAGCAGCAGCCGCAGGTGGTCGCAGAATGGAGGGCTGGCGGGAGTCAAGTCGTTCGTGTCCGCGCGGAGGCGGGGGGAGGGCCCAGGTGGGGGGAGGCGCGGTTCGCGTCGCGCAGCGCGCACCGCGCCGGGCTTTGCGCGCGCGTGCCGCGGCGCTGCGTTTGCGTGCCGCGCCCGCCTGCGCGAGCGGCGCGGCGCGGCGGCGGGGCTCACGGCTCCTGGCTTGGACGTGGCCTCCCAAGTGCAGGCCAGGGGCGCTGGTAGCCCTGGCAGCGCGCTCCTGCTGCGCGCGCTGTCCGGACAGCCTGCAGCCGCCCGACGCCCTGCCCGCCCGCCCGCCCGCCCGCCCACCGCAGCCGGCAGCGGCGCCGCCTCCCCGGAAGATGGCCCCACCTCCTCTGGCTACCTGCTGGCAGAGGTGCGCGATGCGCGTGCTGCGGTCACGGCGCTGGATCGCTACCTCTTCAAGGTCAAGAGCTTCAAGGACGCCAGCTTTGAGCTGGTGGAGCAGGCGCACATGGCCATGAGTCGCCTGGAGCAGGTGGGGCGAGGGGCAAGGCCAGCCCACGCGCGATGCTTGGGACGCGCAAGTAGCAATCGCGCCGCGGTGGCAGTAAACGATCGCGCCGCGTGGAGTGGCGGCCAAGCCCTGCAGCGGCAGCCCCCGCGCACCGCAGTCCGCCGCGGCGCGCGCCCTTACACCCCCTGTCCTGCCCCTCCCTAAAACAACAACAGGCGGTGGCCGTGCGCGCCGCGCCCGAGCTGATCCTGCTGGCGTGTGAGATCAAGGTCGCGGCGCGGCGCGGCGCCCACCTGCTGCGCACCTATGGGGAGTACAACTTTTTCGGCAAGATGGTGGCCTGGACGCGGCGCAGGCGCGTGGAGGCAAAGTACGCCGCAGTCACGGAGCGGCTGCGCGGCCTCATGCCGGGGACCA